TGACAATCACCTGGGGAGCCTCACGGCTTTCACATGTTCTTCCCGGGGGCCGCTCCAAAGCCACTCTTCATCTCTGGTGGAACGGGCCCGAGAATCTGCATGTTTTTGTAAGCGGTCCTGATGGGTCTTAACGCGCCGTAAAGTTTGAGAGCCACTTTTATGGCACTAAGGAAGGTGGCACGTTAGATGGGACTTTGTGTCACGTTAATAATGTATAGTCCTCCCTCTTCCAAATGGGATTTTAGGAGTCTTTTTCTCAAATCATGTGTAAGACATGGTTTAAAAATAAAATCTGCTAAAGTAATCAGAATGCATATTTGAATTGGAAACAGAAGTCTTCCAGGAGTGCTGATGAGATGGATACTTGGGCTTAAAATTTAGTTCTACAAGTGCAGAAAGGAACGGGGGATGGTTTGCATAGTTATCACTGGTAAGAGAAAGCAGAAAATGCTTAAGAGATTTCAGGTTTCCTGTTTGTGGGTCGTGATGGAGGGGAGCAGCGTTTACCATGCTTTTGGTCATTCGTAGTACAGATCCAAAGGTGTAATCCAAAGGCATTTAACCATTAGATAAGGCATTTCTTCAGGGATTCTAAGCCAATTAATATCTGCCACTCTCTAGTGGTCACCAGCAGTCCCTGTCCCTTGGCCCCAGGGCCCCTGTAGCCTGGCTAGTTAGGAAAGGGGACTGCATCTCCAAATAAGAAAGATCCAGTTGTGGCCACCCAATTCCTCCTCTTCGAAAGGCACTTTCTGCCCATCGCCTGCTTTCTGTGCCAGGACCATCTTTACTTTCCCCACAAAAGGTACCTTCAGGACAGGCTGGGACTCCTGGGCTTGGGAACCACCTTGGAAGGGCCTAGGTTCCCACTTGTACCCTTGCCATCTAGCAGACTGAGCTGGTAGTACAGGGATGGTGAAAGCAGGTTCAGGGAGCAGCTTAATATTCTGGGGGTGGCAGAGGGGAGAGGGAGCTTTGGTGAAATGTCTATAGTCAGAGGGGTAGTAAACAGGGTATCTGAGAAGTTCTGTCAAGTTCTCCCCCATCCATAGGGATACACGTGTTGGTGGGAAGATTCATGAGTGCTAATCACTGGCGAGTCTTTCCTGGGTTCCACTTTGAAATGCTGGCTCCCCAAGAAGTAGCAGAGAAATTAACTTTGAGCCCCTTAAACTTTGGAGTAGAGATCACACACCCAGCTGCCCCCAAGGGCCCAAAGGTAACAAAAATGAGGAAAGTGGGCCAGATACAGGCCATGGCAGACCTTAGAGGGCATACGCTGGTTGATGGGGGCCATCAGTCTGTTCCCATCAATTGTTGGTATTTAGGAGCCCAAATCTACTGTCTCCAGATTTTTTAAAGAAAAAAACAGGTGTTGTATATAAAATATCATGATTTTTATTTTTTATTTTACTTTATTTATTTTGAGATGGAGTCTTGCTCTGTCCCCTAGGCTGGAGGGCAGTGGCACTATCTTGGCTCACTGTATCCTCCGCCTCCTGGGTTCAAGCAATTCTCATACCTCAGCCTCCCGAGTAGCTGTGATTACAGATGCACACCACTACACCTGGCTAATTTTTGTATTTTCAGTAGAGATGAGTTTCGCCATGGTGGCCAGGCTGGTCTCGGACTCCTGACCTCAGGTAATCTGCTGGCCTCAGCCTCCCAAAGTGCTGGCATTACAGGCATGACCCACCACACTAGAACGAAATGTCCTGATTTTTAAACATTGGCAACTACCTGAAACATTTTAAACTACTGTGTTGAGCAAACAGAAATTCTGAGGGCCAGATAGGGCCCCAGTGGGCTGCCAGCTTTTGACCTCACCTTTGGGGTGAGTGAGCATATCTGCCAGCTGTTTTTATGGGGACAGCTGAGAACCTGGACTGCTGGGAGGTGGGGTTGAAGGAGACAGGCACCAAAGCATCAAAAAGTTAGAATTCCTCGTCTTTCTGCATTGCTAGAAGGAATCCCTGCTATCATTTTAGGGCAACCCTTCATTTTACAAATGAGGGAACCGAAGATTAAAGAAGGCCGAGGTTTGTCCAAGGTCATGCAGAGCTGGTTCCTGCACCAGGTCCAGAACAGATGCCAGCTCCCAGCCCGCTCTACCACTCAAACTACTGCATCACAACCAGGCCATGCTCTGTAGGGGGACACCAAACCTGGCCCCAGCAGGAGCATAAGAAACTTCCAGCAAGTTGGAAAAAAATGCCCTTTCCTTTTTTTTTTTTTTTTTTTTGAGATGCAGTCTCGCTCTAGAGTACAGTGGCTCGGTCTTAGCCCACTGCGACCTCCACCTCCCGGGTTCAGGCTATTCTCTTGCCTCAGCCTCCTGAGTAGCTGAGATTACAGGCACCCACTACCATACCTGGCTGATTTTTTTTGTGTTTTCAGTAGAAGCAGGGTTTCACCATGTTGGCCAGGATGGTCTCAAACTCCTGACCTCGAATGATCCACCCACCTTGGCTCCCAAAGTGCTAGGATTACAGGCGTGAGCCACTGTGCCTGGCCAGAAATGCCCTTTCTGACCAGAGTCAAAGTTCCCCCAATGCCTGGGTAGCCCAGCTTCCCCATTGGCTCCTGAAATCCACCCCTTTAGGTTTCCTTTCCCTGCTCAGAAGCTCTGCCAGAGGGGACATTCCCTGGGAGGCTGAGGGTCACCACGATACCATGACAGAGTCTGGCAAGGTAAGGAAGGCACTCGTAGACTGGCTGCCCCTTGGGGGCCTCTTGGACCTCAGGAGCTCAAACCAGCACAATTTTGGAGCCAAGGGACCTCACGAGCCTCTCAGAGAGCTCGGAGTCTTGACCTGAGTTGCCCAGATGCAGGCCTGAGAGAGGAGGCCTGGCAGGATAGGAAGAAATGGTTGACTCCTCCCGAGCTGGAGCCCACCCAGCATGTGTTAACACGCGCCTTCATCCTCTCTCCTCAGCCCATCCTCTATTCCTATTTCCGAAGCTCCTGCTCATGGAGAGTTCGAATTGGTAAGAGCTGTGCCTCCTCCAGACTGAGTGCTGGAGTGGGGTGGACTGGGGTGGAGAAGCTGGCCTGGGATGGAAGGGGTGCTCTGTCAGAAAGGACCTCACGCCCAGCAACCAGCATCCCCCGACTCCTAGAACCCCCGTCCCTTCATGGCATCTCCACCCCGGAAACGCAGGGTGAGGGTGGGAGGAAGGGGGTTGTTTTTTTTCTTGGGACTGACACTTCTCCCAACACTGCTCTCCAAAGCCCCTTGGCAACCGTGTTTAAAGCAGAGTCACAAAATCCATATGCCCCTGGTAACTAGCAGGGGAACAGCTGGCCTCCCTCAGTTCTTATCTTATTTGAACTGGCAAAGCAAACAGAATGGACCAGCGGGCCAGCGTCAGCCTTGAAGGCTTCAGAAAAGCAGAAACAAGGGCCCTGTGGCTCGTCCTTTTTTGACCCTTCCCTCCCTCGGCTTAACACAGCATTTGGCAAAGGCTGTACTGTACTGAGGAAAAGCAGCCTGTACTGAGGAAAAGCTCTGTGCCGAGTTCTTTTGTGTGCCTGATTCCATTTAAACCTCAACAACCGTAGGAGGGAGGTACTATTACTGTCCCCATTGTATAGAGGAGGAAGCTGCGGCACAAAAAACTGAGGCAACATTAAGTAACTTGCCCAAGATCATTCAGCTACTAAGAGGCAGAACTGGAATTCAAACCATATAGTCTGGCTCCAGAGGCCTATTAAGTTACTTGCCCAAGGCCACACAGTTAGCAAGTGACTGTGTTGAAATTTGAACCCAAGAAGCTTGCCTCCAGAGTGTGGAGGCAAAGCTATCCTCCATGACCTCTCCTCCATCCCGCAGTCACTTGGTATTTGCTGGGATCAGTAAGCAAGAGCACTGGGTGCCAGGAGAAACTTTCCTCCAAGAAGATGAACCCATCCCTGGGTGCTAGTGCCTCTGCCCTGGCTGAGCCAGAAGCCAGAAGCCAGAGCAATATAGGTGCTGTCTGTAGGGCCTGTGTGCTTTGGCTTTCCCTCCTCCAGGTGTCTCCTCCAGCCCCAAACACTGTCATTCCCCAGACTGGAGCTGACCGACACTAGGAGTAGCCTGGTGTTGCCCAGGCTGTCTCTACACCATGACATGTCTGGTCCTTCTCCCCTCATTCCTTTGCCCTTCCCTGAGATTGGCCATCACCATACTTGAATGCCCAAGTGCGCATAATACACTCACGCATGCACACGCACGCAGTCTTCTCCACCAGTGCTGACCCACCCAAGTTTTTTTACCCTCAGCTTGCCAGGGGAAATTATCAAAAGCAATGGAGAGAAAATCTGGTGACTGGAGTCACAGCAAATGCGCTCCAAGGCCACCAAGGAGCCCAATGCCTGTCTGGAATCTCTAGTAAACAGCCCTGAGAACAGAGAGAATAGATTGGAAGACATCCTTTTCCAACAGAACAAGAGTGCCATCTGTGTGTGCTCTGTGTGGCCACCTGAGCTCCTTCACTTGACGCTTAGTTGCCTTCTTGAGGGAGTAATTGCATGTCTCCAACCAAGACACTGGTCATCACTGTGTAAGGCCCTGGGGGAGCAGAGGTAAACACGACACACCCTTGCTGTCCTCCAGGAGCCTACAGAGTGGCGGGGCACACACCTTTATCACCACCCAGCGGGCATGAGGGCCCCATTGGGGGGTCCAGATCGTGAGGTGTCTAAGAGTTCAGGGGTGAGCGAGGCAGAACATCATGCATCTGGGGTAGGGAGCAGGTGGTAACAAGGAAAGCTGGAGAGAAGGGGATAGTGCCAAGGTGAGCCTTGACCACCCGGAAGTGTAGAGAAGCCTCCCCCTCTTTGGCCTTATGTCACCCTAGAAGGGCTCTTTTCTTTAAGAGTATGGCCAGAGGCTGTTCCCTGACTCTGCTATCTGTGGTCTCTCCTAGCTCTGGCCTTGAAAGGCATTGACTATGAGACGGTGCCCATCAATCTCATAAAGGATGGGGGCCAACAGGTAAGAAAGCTGTTCCCAGACCACAAAGTGGGAATTGGAGGCCTTGAAGAGGCACCAGGCAGGGGAAGAAGGGGAGGCTCTGCCCCAGAGAAGTGAACCTGTGTCTTGTGGACTGTCACTGCAAGAGGCTGCTGGCTCTCCCTTGTGGGACAGGGTGGCACACTATGCAGTAGCAGGAGGCCTGGGAAGGACCCAGGTCCAGGCTGTGTACCCCAGTCTGAGTTCTCCAATGCCTGACCCTGGGAGGGTGGGTGGCGAGTGGGTCCCCACCCCATACTGGGCCCTCTGGATGGCTGACTAGGGTAAGAGCCGCCTTGGTGGCCATGGTGTGAGATGCAGGGAAAAGCCCATAGCCAGGCTGTTAGGATGAAGCCTATGGCTCAGCAGCCGCTGGGGTTTGGGATACTTCATGGATCCCCCAGGGATTACCCTGGGCCTAGGATTTAGGGCCTTCCCAGGGAAGGGAGAGAGGGGTGGGCGGCAGGCCTGGGGTTCTCCGGCTTGCTTGGTTCTCCTCTGGCCAACACAGTCCAGGCCACCCAGCCCACCAGGGCCTTGTCTCCACAGTTCTCTAAGGACTTCCAGGCACTGAATCCCATGAAGCAGGTGCCAGCCCTGAAGATTGATGGAATCACCATTCACCAGTCAGTGAGTGCAGGGCCTAGGGGAGGGCCCTCGTGAGAGCAGTGCCCTGAATGAGAGTGCCTGACATCTCTTCCTCGCCTGTGTATGGTCAGGGTGCCTAGCACATAGGAGAGGCTCAATACAAGGCTCATGGGGAGGGTGGGAGGTTGTTTAGGAAAATAAGGGAAGATTCAAGCACATGGAGAACCAAGTTCTGCAGGATAAGGTCCAAAATGGCTTTATAGGGCTTGAGCTGAGGAGGTGGAGGGAAGAGGTGTAGTGATGGTGCTGGAAGAGGAGGAGGAGGAGTTTGCTGGCCCTGTCCTCTCTGGCCTAGGGTTCCTGGGCCCTGTCCCTGCCTCACTGCTTCCCTCTGGACAGCTGGCCATCATTGAGTATCTAGAGGAGACACGTCCCACTCCGCGACTTCTGCCTCAGGACCCAAAGAAGAGGGCCAGCGTGCGTATGATTTCTGACCTCATTGCTGGTGGCATCCAGCCCCTGCAGGTGTGGCACTTGTACACTTGCACCCTTGCACACCTCACACACTCTTACATTCACACATTGGCTGTGTGAGCTGCCCATTGTGGGGGCGGGTGCCCAGTATGGGGGCGGGGGCGTCAAGGGAGGGAGGGGGATTGGATTCTCAGGGGCTTTGACCTGGACCATGTGAAAGAAGAGGGCAAAGATCTCAATCTCAGAAATCAGCCATCCCAGCTGGTCCCCCACTGCGTTCCGAGAAGCTCTAGTTTCTAAGGACGCATGTACAGGTGCTTGAGGTGGGGAAAGGGCCAGGATGGCAGGGGAGACACTGAGCAGGCCCCAGGCCAGGCCTCCCGCCTTTAACCAGAGGGGCTTCCCTTTCATCTGTGCTATCTCGGTCATACACTGGGATACACGTAGGATTTTATTTTGTAAGTGTCACTGTTAAAACAGACAAGTAAGTATTAAAAACAGTTTATCTGTACCAGCTTCTACTCTGAATGAGGAAATAGCCCCAGAAAGGTGAAGTGACTTATGCTGAGTCCCACACGTAGGTCCTAGCAAAGTGGGGACTAAGTCAGGACCCCTGCATGCCTGTGCCCCCCACTCCCATGTCATTTTAACAAAGGATGTTGGAGCAAACAGACATCTCCATTTTGAGGAAATAATATTCCTCCGTAATGAGGAAACAGGTAAAATGGCTCCAGGAGTGCCAAGATGGAGCCAGGCTGGAAATCTCTGAAAGCCAGTCCTGTGGACCTCCCTCATCCCAGCCCCACCCTCTATCACACTCCCTCTGCTCACAAGGGACCACACAAGGGAGAAGTGAGGGAGACAGGCCTGAGTTGTAGGCGCACCTGCCACAGCCATGGCCGCGTCTTGTGTCACATGAATAGGGATTCATGCACATCTCTGACGGAATTACATGGCTTTTTGAGGCCACTGGGGCAGCCTGTGAAGGTGGCTGCTGGGATGGCTACCTCCCTCCAGCCTCAGGGCCCTGGTAGAAGGAAGGGGCTCATGGAGCCTGGGGGGAGAAGGGATAGATATGTCCAGCCAGGGGCAGATGGGAAGTGAACTTCCCTGAAGGGGTTTGGCCAAGGGGCAGTCCCCACCCAGCTCTCAGAGCAATCACAGACTTTCTTTGGGCTGCATAGAACCTGTCTGTCCTGAAGCAAGTGGAAGAGGAGTTGCAGCTGACCTGGGCCCAGAATGCCATCATTTCTGGATTTAACGGTGAGTCCTCACCCTGTCAGCGGCCTCTTAGAGGTATGGCCCTCGCACACAGGGGCCTGGGTATCTGAACCACCCTCCCAGGCTGCTTTGGTCCTGACAGTTGCATGGGTGAGGGCAGGACTCGGGAAGCGAAGGGTTGGGTGGGCCTCCAGACCTTAGCTCCAGTGCTTCCAGGAACCTTGGTCCCTGCACCCACAGCCCACAGCCCTTCATAGCTGGGTGGCCCAACGTCAGCTTCACTGGCCACTCCAGTCAGGAAGCCAAGGCCAGCACAGTGCCAGCCACCAGAGAGAGAGCTGCCACGGCGGCCAATGGCAGGGCTTGTCCACTCTAGTGGGGGAAATGGTGGCTGGCTCTGCGGAGCCTAAGGAGACAGAAGCTTGTCCCTAGCAGCTCTCTTCAGACCTGGCTGCCAGTTCTCGCCAGCAGCCGTGCCCAGTCTGTCACTCAGTTGGGCGCTCATTTCATAACTAGGGAGGCCAAGGCCCAGAAAGCTTGGTGTCCCCTTCCTGCACCTAGCATAAGATGTTTATGTGGCCTCCCCACAGCCCTGGAGCAGATCCTACAGAGCACAGCAGGCACATACTGTGTAGGAGATGAGGTAAGCTGTCCCCAGGCCTCCCCAGGCCCAGCCACAGCGGCCGCCTCCCTCATGCTGACCCCAGGCTGTCACTCTCTTCCCCTCAGACTCAGCCATCTCTCACACCCTGAGGCAGGTGGGGCTCAGAGCTTCCTGAGGAGGCATCTGCAGGGGGATCTCTGCTGTGGGGCACTCCTCAGCTCACTCCCACTACATTAAACCATCTCAAGAGGGAGTTACTCAAGGTAGAAGACTGGCTGTGAGAGGATGAGGCAGGCCAGGCGTCAGTTGAGGGTTTGCACTAGATGATGTCTGCGCAGTCCAGGCAATCCATCGTCTCTGGCCTTCTCAACCCACAGAGTTGGTTGTCAAGGCAACTGGAGCACGGCCTGGTAGGGCACTTCAGCTCTGGGGGACAGACACACATGCAGGCCTAGGGCAGACAAGAATTGGGGGTGGGATGGGTGAAAGAGCCAAAGCAGATCGTTGGTACCCCCAGTAGAGTTGCAGTGGACATACCGAGTCCAGCCAGTGAGTCTGGGGTACTCACCCTGATGGGAACCCACCCAACCCTCTTTCAGGTGACCATGGCTGATCTGTGCTTGGTGCCTCAGGTGGCAAATGCTGAAAGGTAAGAGAGAGCCCTGCCACCCTCCCTTCTCCTGGCTCTGCCCACAGTCAGTTACCACTCAGCTGGTGAGGTAGCATCTCATGCAGACTCTTTACCAACCAGCCAAGGGGCCCACCATGCCAGGCCACACAGCCACTTTGGCCTGGAAGAGGGCAGAAGAAATTGGGGCAGTGCTCCTACCACACCCACCACAGCCCAGATGATACTGTATAGATAGCCCCTGCTCCTAAGAGGAGGTGGCTCACCTGGTGGACCCCCAAGAGCACCTGCCTGATGTCCTCAGATGTGGTGTGTCTGTGCCCAGAAGTGAGCTCTACCTCTGCATCCCTCCATCAACCCTTCAGTAGGGCACAAATGAGCACCTCTCTGGAAGGCATCATGCTAGGCGTTAGGGAAATGGAAATGTCTGGCACATTCCCTGCCCCCAAGAAGCTTACAACAAGGGGGAAGAGAGAGTCTGTATATATAAATGCCTAGCACTGGGCCTTACACATAGTAGGTTCTCAAAGAAATAGGAATAGTAGGTAACAGATGCCAAACTGCACAAGACCTACCCATCTCCTATGAATAAGGGCTGCCCCATCGTCCTTCCCTGGACAGCTCCCTAGACCTCATCCAGCCCTGCCTTCTGCTCCCCCTGCTGCATCAGGGCAGTCTCCCTGTGTCCCTGAAAACCTTTGCTTAGCAGGTGTTTCTCTACTACAGATTCAAGGTGGATTGCACCCCCTACCCTACCATCAGCTCCATAAACAAGAGGCTGCTGGTCCTGGAGGCCTTCCAGGTGACTCACCCCTGCCGGCAGCCGGATACACCCACCGAGCTGAGGGCCTAGCTCCCAAATCCTGCCCCGTTGGCACAGGGCCACAGGAGCAGAAGCTGGGTGGGCTGAAGAGGCCTGGAAACAAGTGAGTTAATTGAGGAGACAGGAGACTCCAACTCTAGCCCTGGATCTGCCTTCCTGCTGAAACTTGTTCCCCCTCAGTCCCCTCATCTGTCAAATGCATGTGGGGTTGGGTAGGAAGATGCTGGGAGCAGCAGGGCAGGAATACTGTTACCTATGTGACGGGGCAGTCGTGAAGCTGACATGAAAATGTGGATTAAAATGCCTGGCGTGCTCACCATAACACCACGGGAAGCCTGTGTGCCTTTTCTCATCTGCTTTTGTTGTGTCTGACTCCCAAGAATGCCCACGCTGAAATTTGGCGTGAATTAAACTGAAGCCCAGGCCTCTACCTTGTTTGTCTAAGACTGAGCGAGGTTCCAGAAGATGCACACTGTCCCTAGCTGGAATCCCCTGTGCCGGGACCAGTAGAGGAAGTCAGTCAGCTGTGTGCCTACCCTGTGGCAGGCCTGGCCCATGGGACCTAAGGGCAATGAAGAGAAATACGCCCAAAAGCCTGCCTGAAAGAATCAGACAAGATCCAGGGAGATAACAGATAGAAGCAGGAAAGCATCTAGTGACCGGCTTAGTTCTCAGGGCTAGGAATGGTACTGTTGTTAAATGTTCCACTCCAGGCTGGGCGCAGTGGCTCATGCCTATAATCCCTGCACTTTGGGAGGCCGAGGCAGGTGGATCACTTGAGGTCAGGAGTTCGAGACCAGCCTGGCCAACATGGTGAAACCCCGTCTACTAAAAATACAAAAATTAGCCGGGTGTGGTGGCAGGCGCCTGTAGTCCCAGCTACTCAGGAGGCTAAAGTGGGAGAATGACTTGAACCTGGGAGGTGGAGGTTGCAGTGAGCCAAGGTCGTGCCAGTGCACTCCAACTTGGGCGATAGAGTGAGACTTCATCTAAAAAAAAAAAAAAAAAATTCCACTCCAGTACTGAGAGGCCATTTGGCCCTCTCAACCCAGTCCCTCATCTTCAGGGCCAGCATTCTCCAGACCAGTCCCAGGATTAGGCACTCGAGGTAAATCCAGTCACAAATGGTGCCGGGAGCAGTGTGACCAGGCCAGCTCAGGAGACAAAGCAGGTACCAGTGTACCACGGGCTGCCCTGGAGGGAGCAAGTTCCCATGCTTGGCAGTGTTCAGGCAGAACCAGGACCATCTCCGGGCAGAGATGCCGTAGGGAGATTGGGGTAGCTTCTGGGGATGAAATGAGATGAACTTTTTAGGACCTTTACCTCCTGAAGGCCCCACCTCTGAATACTGTTGTGTTGGAGATTAAGTTTCAACATGAATTTTGGAGGGGACATAAACATTTAAATCGTAGCAAAGACCATCACCTTTTTACAGAATATTTTCCAGTAGGGGCTTCTCTCAAACGGCTGAGTGGTAAGTCAAGTCCTTCCTTTCCATATCACACTCAGCAGACACCTGATCCTGATATGCTAGAGGCCACAGGGAGACTGGATACACGGTCTTCCCGGAGCGGGAATGGCCACAGTGAAGGAAGAACAATGGAGTGGCCTGATACTGGTAATTCCAACTCTAAGGAAGTAACAAGTTCCCAGAAATACTTCAGAAGGAGGAAAGCAATAGGGAGGTGCTGTCAGGAAATACCTGAGAAGAAAGCAAAAATTATAGGCTTGTGTTCCTCAGAAATTTTACATATCCATTAAGGAAAGTGGCAAACTTATTGGATAAACAGGTGATACACATATTCATAAGATACTAATTTTTTTTTTTTTTTTTTATGATGGAGTCCCGCTTTGTCATGCCCAGGCTGGAGTGCAGTGGTGAGAGCTCAGGTTCACTGCAACTTCCACCTCCTGGGTTCAAGTGACTCTCCTGCCTCAGCCTCCCGAGTAGCTGGGATTACAGGCACATTGGTCAGGCTGGTCTCAAACTCCTGACCTTAGGTGATCTCCCCACCTTGGCCTCCCAAAGTGCTGGAATTACAGGCGTGAGTCACCACGCCCGGCCAAGATATGGCTCCTTTTAACTTTTAGATTTTTTTTTTTTGGAGAGTCTCACTCTGTTGCCAGGCTGGAGTGCAGTGGAGCAATCTCGGTTCACTGCAACCTCCGCCTCCCAGGTTCAAGCGATTCTCCTGCCTCAGCTTCCCAAGTAGCTAGGACTGCAGGCCTACGCCACCACGCCCAGCTAATTTTTGTATTTGTAGTAGAGATAGGGTTTCACCATGTTGGCCAGGATGGTCTTGATCTCTTGACCTTGTGATCCACCTGCCTTGGTCTCCTAAAGTGCTGGGATTACAGGTATGAGCCACCACGCCGGCCTAGATTTTTTTCTTTATTTAAAAAAATTTTTCTTAGAGATAGAGTCTCACTGTGTTGCCCAGGCTGATCTTGATCCTCCCGCCTCAGCCTCCCGAGTAGCTGCGCCGGCTCTTACTTCTAAACATAACTTATTTAGCTCTTGCTTCCAAGGTCACAAGCAATTCTCCTTTCGGAGAATACTTTGAACTAAGGATAGCTGCTGAGTTTAAGTCACAACTGCACAGGTTAAAGAACATCAAGGCTGAATGTCAAGAGCTGTAATATGTGAGCTGCCTTTTGTAATCTTGAGCTATGTCAAGGTCAATGATATGAAACATGAATGCTTTTAAAAGTTAAAAAATAATCTTAAGGCCAGGTGCAGTGGCTCATACCTGTAATCCTAGCACTTTGAGAGGCTGAGGAGGGTGGATTGCCTGAGCTCAAGAGTTTGAGAACAGCCTCAGCAACACGGTGAAACCTTGTCTCTACTAAAATACAAAAAATTAGCTGGGCATGGTGGCATGTGCCTGTAATCCCAGCTATGGGAGAGGCTGAGGCAGGAGAATTGCTTGAACCTGGGAGGTGGAGGTTGCAGTGAGCTGAGATCGCGCCACTGTACTCCAGCCTGGCGACAGAGCGAGACTCCATCTCAAAAAATAATAATAATCTTAAATATATTATGTGTTGACAGTGACATATTACATCCAGCGTACCCAAACATGAATCATTAATGATCTCCAGCTACACGGAATCTGCCTGGGCTTTTTGTTAGTTGTAGGGTAGTTTCGTGATTACATTCATTTACCTCAGTTGTTTCAGATCCCTTCCTCTTTTATGCTTCAACCTCTAAAATATGTTGCAACAGAAAGCAGAGAATGATCTAACAGGTTCATTTTAGGATCACAGATATCACCGAAGGAAATATTTAAATGCTACCCTTCCCTGCTCAAATGTGAGTCCTTATTCTGCAACAGACACTAGGGATGTGGAGAGGCAGTGGTTTAAAAGATAGCAAAGATATATTATGGTGTCACTTTTGTAAATGAAAACAGGCTGAATTCATATCACCCAGATTACGTTAATGATTGGCCTGGTATCCAAAGTGGAGGTTCCAAATTTGAACAGAGTATGTTCATGGGGAAACAGGCCTCACTGGGACCAAATGCTGACATAAAACTCAGAACTCACTAATCATCACTATAAACCCAGTTTTTCCAATCCCAGTTCCCAGTTCATGATACTCTGCCATGAATTTAAATGCAGATGAAAGATCTATTATTAATCTTATTCTCAATTTTTTTCTTTTTAGTCTTTCTTTACTTTTACAATCTTAATAGATTATGAAATAATTCCTATGGGTTTATAGAATACCTTTCTTAAGGAAGATACATGAAAGACAAAGAATTTAAAATGTAAATCAGGTTCATTAAAATACAACTCAGATGTTACCAGGTGCATAGTGAAAAAGTTTATTTATGACAGATTTGAAAAGTCGGAAGAGATGACAAAGAATGCACAAAAGCATCACAAAACTGTTACATAATATAAAACACAAGAACTGAGCTATTTAAAGAAGCACAGCTCAGAATCATCAGTGTAATCGCAGTAACACACACCCAGTGCCACAGGGTGACAAAAATGGTATTTTAAAAGAAAAACCACTCAGCAGGACACAAGAATTAAGTAACAATTTGGTAAGAGCTCTTAGAAATCACAGATGTTGATAGCATTTCTCATGACAGGGGACATGTAAAACAAGCTGACCATAAAAAATGATTAGTTGGGATACTTTTGTATTTTAAAGGAAAAAGATAAAACAGTGACACAGTTTCTCTTCCAGACCCTTTTTGTAATGTCAGCAACAGTACATGATACAGAACAGTAAGGAAATAAGGTCTTTGTGGTTGCCAATTGCTTAAATCTTTACAAAGAAAACATGATCATCTTTCAGTCAATTGATTGATCTGAATACATGGCACCAAAGAAAGCCCTTCAGAAATAGAAGCTAAATGGCATAAAGTAGTTTAGAAAATCTTCAAGCACCTCCCTTTATTCCAATTATCCTTTTCCAAAGTCTGGCTTTCTTATAATCCATCACTTTGATTACAAAACAGCTCTCCTTCTGGGAATTTCAAAACACTTCCCGTTATGTTAAGGGAAAATGGGTATGCCAGAGTCATGGGTTACAGGATTGCTTTCTCCAGACTTGACTTCTCTTTAACATGGCTAAATGGAAATAATTTAGCTTGGTTAAATGAAAGCTATTTCACTTAACGGGATAATCTCAGGAGACATGAGTGGAGTTTTTCATGTGGAATTTCTTAGTAAAATGTACTGTTTAGGATATGAGAGAAGGAATTAAGATAATGTTTTCCAGATGATTCTTGGCCTGATCCTAAGAATCAACAATAACAATCAATAGCAAGGAACATTACACATTCAACCCTGAGTGACGAAGAGAGTTCAGGAAGAGAGCCCCTTAAACTCGGAATTAAGGGCTCTTTGGTAATATCATATACTATAATATTTCAAACCAAAACTTCAAAATGGTTCATGATCCTATTTCAGAACTTTAGAAAATATACTTGTCCTCTGGAAGTAATTTCACATATATTATTTTACCCCCAGATAAGCCACAACTACCTGCTTAAAAATTTTTTTTTAAACTATGGAATTAAATAGACATGCATCTCTAGATTTCTAGGGCAACTTTTCATCATATCTTAGAATGAAGAGCCATGACATTAACTCTGGTCCACATACCTGGGACCTAAAAGAAATCAGGTACATAAAATAGGAATCAGATCATGAGCCTCATTTCAAAGCCAGTGTCTTGCCTTTGGACTCAGTGTGTGAGGCATGCCTATTTGTAAATGAGCTCCACTATCACTGGCTTTAGTCTATAGTGTTTTCCTAGCTTAGAAATTTCTTACCTTAAGAATTCAAACAGGAGGGGCTTTGTTGGGCCTTCTTGGTTTAGGCAGGGACAATGCAACACTTGAGAGGGAGCAGTGACTTCTGAGCAAAATTCTAAGATGCATTCGATAGCTTTGCTCTCCCCTCCCCCGATAC